CCGGCCATGCGCAAGCTACCAGCGGCGAAAGCACAGCAGCAATGACTTTTAGGCACGCGGTTCCCGCAAGATTTAGGGCACCCTGGTTGCCGCAGCTGCAGATCCCAACATTCAAAGGTGACATCTCACAGTGGACAAGCTTCTGGGAGCAATTCGAAATAATAATTTACCTGAACAGCGACCTGACACCAGCCACAAAGTTCTACCTCATGAAGAGCTTCGTATGCAAAGACGCAGCAACAGCAATCGTGGGTTTGCCCATGACCGAATCTTGCTACGCCGACGCCATGGGTATGTTGAAGGAAAGATTCGCCGATAAGGCAACGATTATTGAGCACCATCTGAGAGCTCTGAGAAATCTCCCAAGGGTGACATCGGCTAACGACATGCGTGGGTTATGAAGACTGTACGATGCCACACAGCTGAATATTCAATGCCTTGGAGCCCTCAACGACCCGACACTGACGTATTCAGCTATACTAGTCAACATCTTGCAAGAGGCTGTACCGCGTGACATCACTCTTCCTTTCACTCGAAAAAGAGAACCCCGTGCCTTTACAACCTCATCGGACATGCGTCATGCTTGATTCTTTTCGTCGGTTTCACCAGCACATGCGTCGGTTACATCGGATGCCGAGCAGAGCAATGTGCTATTGTTCATGCGGGTGGAGCTCGAAAGCCGATAACAGCATGCGTTCCCACGGGAAAACGATCGCACGGACTAAGTGCATAGTGGAGTCCCTACAGCACACGTGATGTACATTACATCTATTGCGAAGTTTCGTTGTTTCTTCTACCATAGTGATCAGCACGGAACGCGCAGCTGCAATGCCGATATTCCTCTTGCGGTCAAGAAAGAGAAGCATAAAAAGACAGATGGTGCTTCCGCTGCACCTCTAAGGGCCACCGAGTGAATAATTGCAGGGTCAAGCTCACCTGCAGTTCCTGCCGCGTAAGACACGCCTCCAGTATGTTTTACCCTAAATACCACAGGTTTTCGGCGGGAACAAGAACCTCAGCAAGTGCCACAATGCGCGTTTCTTTTAGCGATATTGCTTCCTGAAGTGACTCAACATGCACCAACCCATCAGCTGAGGACCGCGCTGTCTATCTCCAGTTATTTTGTGTTGACATGATTAACAATGACGAAAGCAAGTGCATTCGCGGTATTCCAGATTATTGCAACCGGAGGACTTTCAGTGAAGAAGACATAGCTCGGAAACTAAACATTAGGGTGGCCTTCAAGGCACGTCTAGCGCTGGACATCTCCGGAAGCACGTTTTCTTCTCACGAAGCAAACCACAATGTCGTCGAAGTACGGTTACGAAACAGATCCAAGAGGTTTGAGTTTCGCTTAGAAGCTGTAGTAGTTCCAACTATTCTTCAAGATATAACTGTGCTGCCAGCTCAGATTGAACTTATTACAACGAACTTAATTGAACTAAAACAATGCAAGCGGCTAGTAAATGACTACTCAGCTTAAGGACACATTAGACTCTGTGATCGGCTTGCTTATTGGTTCTGATTATCTGTGGCAAGTGATTACCGGTGATGTCATCCGATGCCTAGACGTCCACGAATTGGTTCAAATTGACACAGTTCAGTTGGACTGTACAAGGACCAGTCTGAGAACAGAAGACTTTAGCCTGTGCACTCATGTTATCAGCGTCTTGTGGGTAGATACAGCAGACGAGGGGTCTGCAATGCAGGTGTCACAGTCTTTCTCGAAGCATCACTTCATAGCCACAACTGACTCCAGTGAAAGTTCTCTTCGAGCAAAACTTAGACAGTCGAAGTAGACAACCAAGCAGCCTGCCTGCGACATTCCATAGTCCTACCATGGACAGACAACCGCAGTCGGTGCAACAACCTCACCGAACAGCGAGTGACACACGCGCCAATTGCGTCAAAGACAAGGTATTCCGCTCTGAAGATGGTTACCCACGATTTGAACACAGCAAGCGGAGAAGTTAGAACACTTGTCCGAACTTCAAAGGAGAGTTTTTCTATCGACGACTTGCCTTGAGGAACCAACACACTTGAATGAAGACAAACTGCCTTCAACACAAGCAAAATTGTGGGCGACTCCGGAATGGACTTTAGGAAACTAACGACAAGATTTTCCAGGATATTGGATTTCCCTCCAAGATGATCTGCGCGTTAATTCGTCGAGAAGTCACTGCCTTTTGATCCGCAGCTTAGTTCATAAGGCTCATCAACATTGCCTCAGAATACTCGGTCTGATTCTATCGAGAAGATAGACTACCATCAGGTCTTCAGCTTTGGGAAGGCTGGAAAAAGAAAGTGCCGTGACCTCCGTATATGGGTACCTTCAAAGCTCAAGCCAAAGTATGATGGTAGACGTTTTCGTAGTAGTGCAACATGGCCTATGTGTTGGGCCTCTGTCACGAGTAACGCAGGTACATCCTGGCCATGGTGGACTAGTGCTTTTATGGGGCGGGGCAGGATGTTAAATACATAAGCCATAGGCGGACGTCTAAGATCTCGCAGGCCTATGGTCTGCACGAACACTCGATTCCAGCTCGTGCTTCTGCCTCTTGAGTCTGAACTTCAAACTTGTTTCTATGACTTTTTCTAATTTGAATCGAACCTTTCTGCGCCGAGAAGCCATCTAGACCAACCCATAAAACAGTGTACTATCAGCGTCAAACAAAACCCGAACAGCAGCAAGCCTTCGCGATGGTATATTGCGTGTCGTCCACCTATTACCGTGGACAGGCACGCATATATGCGCAGAGCTGTCGAACAGTATGTGCGCACGTATCAACGGCGATACTGAATGGCGTGCACTACACTGTCGCGAACGCTTGCCACTGGTCAGATTTCATTTGAAGCTGATAGTACATTTCATGCGACTTCAAAGTCATGCAGCATTGCTATTCCAATCCTTTCACGCCTCATCACATGCTTCGCCATTTTTTTGCGGGAGTGATGGTTACGCTCGTAATAACGTTTTGCTCTGAATGCATGCTTTTCCAAGCATGACATTCCTATTAAGGACTTCCGTTCTCAATTCACGATTTTAGCGTCATTGTGCATAGCACTATAGAATGGGACGTCTGTTTCCTCACGACAAATTATAACGCAATCTGGACAACTAGCGAACAAATATTCGTAAACTTGTAAGTTTGGAAGAGGAGTAGGAGGTAGAGTAAGGAAAGGCAGAAAATTAAATTAGGCGAGTGTCCGGTTCGCTATTATACACCAGATGAAGAGAACTGAGGGATGAAAAGAGAGAAATAAAAGGAGGAGAACAGAAAAAAAGAGACACTTGAGCTTAAACTATACTGCTGCGTTCGATAGTAGCGGACGCCGGATTTCAGGCGTATCACATTCCACGGTAGATTCATGGTACCTACTAAAAGCTTGCAAGCGCTAGACGTTCAATGTCCACCACCTGTTGTAAGGCCTCAGTGTGTTGTAATTCCAGCTTGCCGAAAAACGTTTGAAGTGTGTTAAACAGGGATTGAATAACTGTTAGGATAGGCTTGTCTTCTAGCTTTGTTGAAGTGCGCTGTGAACCAGCATGTTGCTGCGACCTCTGCAATGGAGGACAAGCTGCGTCAGTTGTTTTCATGGTGGTCTTGTTGGTATCACCATCGCTGATCATTGTGGCTGTGGTTTTCATATTGTATTCCAAGTGGAATTCGTAGAAATTATGCTTTCCACCGTGTTCTACTTCGTACCAGCCAAGTGCGAACCGGGCAGAGAAGGAGATGATGAAGGGCTTCAAATGGGCGCTGCGGATGCAGGGGCAATGGATTTTTCTGGCAAACTTCGACACCAACGGCGTCGCTTTCTGACGGTTGTGGCGGCTTCGCGATGTAATGTATGGTCTTGTGCGGGTTTTCTCAATACAGCTATCTTTTTTTTCGATTTTCGGGCAATATTTTGAGGAAGCTTCGTGGGGCCAATTGAAACTTGAACACTTGAGAACAGTGGCTTTTACAGTTGCCGCCAGATGGATTTCAGCGCAGCGAAAACATACTAGCCTGCTCTCACATGCGCTTCTCACGTGAACGAGCTTCATGTAGCTTAGACATTGCAGCGTCTTATCACAAATGGTCTTACAGAGTGTCGGAAGTGGCCCACCTTTGTGTGCAAAAGTAGAGAGTTGCCTATAAAATTCATTTCCCCCAGCGTCATGTATCCAAACGAGCAACCTTGACGATGACACTAGCTTCTTTAGATGGCTTGACCAAGCCACTGACGTTAGTTTGGCAAATGGCAGCGTCGACGTCGCAGATCACACCAGCGACAAAATTGAAGCCCATCCACCTTTGCGGCGTTGCGTAGAATATTCAGTGCGGCAGCATGCGAAATGTCAATCGCCATGACATTCTTACATGGGTTCACTATGATGTCGATGATTTCTTCTGTCACCAGTCCCTCGGGCCGTGCCGAAGCAGATTGCACGTTGAGGTAGTGCATGTTGCTGTTTGGTTAAGTAGGAACGAGAGAGATTGCGTTGGCCTCTGGCCTTCTCGGCGCTCGTTCATTCACTGTGTTCGAGAATGAAGAGTCGCTGGCGATACGTCTCTTCGTCTTTCAGCTTGTTACAGCTTCAAAGTCGTCGTAAGAGGGCCGTTCACCTGTCAGCGAGTAGACATCAGTGCCTTCGCTGTCGCTGTCAGGTCCCATCCACTTGCTAGACGTGGCCATCACTGATGCCGGAGGACCCGGTAGATATCCGAACTGATCTTTGTATATCACTGATGAACGCAGCAGCAGAGTTCACGCGGTGCCCATGTCATAGCGCAAAAATGGCAAGAAACAGTTGAAAAGCGTACCGGTAGGCACACACTTGTAGGCTAGCATTCATGATAAAGTTAGTATACTTAACCGGATAAAGACGTAGAAAGAAAATTATGCCATGGGCGGAACGCCACGAGCACAGCAATTTTCTGTGTACACGTTTTTGTCTCGTGCTTACTCATTAATTTTGTACACCCAAGCAGTTTACAAAAGGAAACGTGGAATTATTCTTAATCAGACTTTATTCTTTCCAGCGAAATCCCGACTTGTCGCTACTAGATGAAGTTTAATTCACAGTCTTTTAGGCCAAAGCCACTATAACAAATCTTTAAAAATGCTACTTGTCACTTAACAGCAAGTAACAGCACACTGCAATCATCCTCCAGGCAGCTATTGACAAAGAATTCTTTGCTGTAAGACATTCACAACAGGAAGATGTAAGCTGATCTTTATGTTAGAAATATTATTAGCAGAGCACTCCAGACAACCGTAGCAAAAACATACAAAAGAGAAGTTTTGTAGATTCGGTATTTAGCTAAAATGTTCCGAGTGGCAAGCTGAGAAATTTATTTCGCGATGGCAAAACCCACTCGTCCATTACCAGAGGGCTCTAGCGGCGCCTCGAGCACGGTGTAGACTCGTCTGAGGAATACAAGACCTAAGTGCCAACTGGCATTCGCTACCGCTTCCGCTTCAACGAAGCCGCTGTAACATGTAGTTTCAGTTGTTGTCTCCACCTGGAAAAATATGAGAGTGATATTACCCAGGGCAACAGGTTCGGTGGCATCGTATACTTGCGATAATGTTTGAACAACTTAAACCTCTCCCTCCTCTTCCCTCTACCATGAGAACATTCAAGAGAAAAGGTGGTATTTTATTGACTGGTTTTACTTTTTGCTTTCATTTCCAAAGCCACGCCAGTTCTGGCTTGACGGTTTGTGGCGCATGTTAAGATTGTTGCGCAAGCAGCGTAAAACAACAAGCTAGGACTCTCAGGATTTTATTCACTGTCCCTTTTAGCTCATTTGTGAACCACGTCCACTTCTCGCAAATCGTAATGGGGCGTGCAATAAATCGTACATTTGAGTGTTTCAGAATGATCAAACGTTTGCTCATGTCATTTCATTGATGAAATATTTTCAGAGAGACGTGTATCCCCGTCTGTCATAAAGATTCCCCGCAAAACGTTTTAGGCATGGTCAGTAAAAGCTGCTCATGGGAGTTGACGCTTTGGAGAACGCGCGAGCCAAATATAATAGCGCTAAACGCAGCCTAAAATTTGCAGTACAATATCAAATTCTGATCTCTCAACCAATGATGTTGCATACGCGAAGTTCGTGCGTCACAGGCCCAAGCGCGACGTCATAAGCTCATTTGAGCATGGCGCGCTCGCGAGTTACTGCGCTCGCCGAGGGAGGGCGCCACGTGCACACGCGCGAGTGGCAATCGCACTGAGAAGCTACGCGTTCGAAGAAAATAAAAAAAGAAGAACTGTTTAACATTTGAAACACCTTCTCATCCTGTGTCATGCGCATTCTTCTCGACGAGAGGAGAGAGAAAGAATCACAGTGCGCCAAGAATATTTGTAGCTCCGTTCGTATTAGGCGGGTTCTAAAAGTTTTGGCAGCTGTCAATTCATGAGGCAGTAAAGTTCTTTCATAATGTCACTCCTTGGCTACCTGTAAAATGTGTAGCCGAGCCCTTTAAGCCATATTGTAATATGTAAGGTGTGAAACTCTAATAACTTCTGCACGAAAACCTATTCTGTGCCATATTTGATTTTGGTTGTATCCTCTTGGCAGCATCCAATCGCGCTTTGAGTTTCGCAGTTGCATTTTCTTCTACTGTGAAAACCTAAATCAGATTACAACAAGGGCCGAGTCGGTTGCCGTAAATGTCCTACACCCCGGTTTCCCGTGAACAATATCACATGAAAAGAAAAAAAAATGTCACGCCGTCGCTGACTAAAGGGAACCACGTATGCGTGAGAAGCAGCGCTGATGATGATATGTGGCGTTTAAAGTCCCAAAACCACCACACGATTATGAGAGATGCCGTAGAGGAGGGCTCCGGAAATTTCGACCACTTGGGGTTCTTTCACGTGCACCCAAATCTGAGCACACAGGCCTAAAACATTTCCCCTTCCATCGGAAATGCAGCCGCCGCAGCCGGGATTCGATCACGTGACCTGCGGTCCAGCAGCCGAGTACCTTAGCCACTAGACCACCGCTGCTGGGCGGCGCTGGTGTTCACTTGTGTTTCCACTTGTATGCGTGCTTGTGTGTTTTATTTGGGTGTATAAGCTGTGTACCGCTTGTGTTACTCCCCCCCCCCCCACTTCTCCCATTTGTGTGTAGAATTATGTGTGGTGTGCCGCGCAGCCAGCACCAGGTCTTGGTAGGAGAGTGCAACAAAGCCAGCGCGCCCAGCATTATATACGAGCGCACAGCAATAGCAGAGATAAAGGAGAGAGGGAAGAAGATGCGGGGCAGTGCTCTGCCACCTCCTCCACCGTACCTCCTCACGCTCACGCTAGAAGAAGGAAGAGAGATGGCACATGCGCACTTGCGGGAGAGGATAGTCGCCGAAAGACAGACACAGCCCCGAGCAAAAGCTGCTTCACCTATAAAATAAAGAGCACCCGAGTTCAGAACGGAATGCAAACACAGCGTACTACGTGGCAGCCCAGCACTGCACCATTAGCCCATGGCACTTTTTTTTTTTTTCGTTGGACATCAAGCACAAGGTGACAGCATAATCACAATACAATACAAAAGAAATATGACAGAACAAACGTTGCCATGGCCGTCAAGCACTGCTAAAGGACACCACGCCTCGAAATTCCCTGATATTAAAGCGCATGTCAATGGAGAAACAATCATTTGTTCTTACTACCTCGACAAGGGTTCTTTTACTTTCTTGAATTTGTTGTCTTACTTGCCTCCTGTCAGGTTTACATTGAAATCTTGCCATTCCAGAGCACTCTGTAGTGTGCAATGCAGTATCACGGAAGCTCTTTTTTAATTGCCCTCGGTACAACATCTCAAAAGTACACCCCTTGCCAACAGTGTTGAAAACGTGGTCGATTGTTGCCGGTTAGTTATATATTCATTTCTTATCGAGCGAGGTTCTCTAACGCCATAGGGATTTAACTGTCTAAACTTAGCTACGCGGGTGCTTAACTTTCCGCCTCAAACTTACCCTATGCAGGCTTCATGTCATATTGTGTGAATACGAGTAATAAAGGGTTTCGAACAGTAACGCAACAACTAGGCGCCACGCAATGCGAATTGTGTAACGAGTGCGTCGTTGGATGCTTCAACTCCTTACAGAATCCTGAGGCATAATTCTTCATCATCGTCAGCCACAGCATGAACAGCGTGCACATAACGCCTTACAAGTGTGTAGCGGTTACCACGCTTTTCCGAAGAATGAAGCATAATGTGATAATGAATGCTTCCCCACAACACAAAATTTATGATTGTTTATGGCGTACTGAAACAATGCGAGCGTGCTTGCAGTAGTTGCCTAAAAAGTGTTGAAAAACAGCTCTAGAAATATCAATTTGCACTCCACTCCCTGGCTGTGCTGCACGTTTTGCGCAGTTCTGGCGACTTTTTGCGATCATCTGCTAAAAAATCCACCACGCAGATTTGATTTGTAATGCAAAGCGCTCTCCGTCATCATTGTTAGCCCAGCACTTGAGTTTTAATGCCGTTCCGAGCGATAAATTTTGCTGTTTAGATGCCATATAAACCCCGAAATTTCCTCTCCATTATGACGTTCTTATTCTCCAAAATTAGCGACTATCCTCGGTCATCAACACCTTCTTTCGAAATTTTTTGTGCTTTATTAGTGTAATGCGGTTTAATCGGTGTATACGCTAGAAAACACCGTTCTATCGTCATTGTGGCACCCTGCGCTGCGTTAGAATATTGAGGCACTTAGCCGGAAAAGATTCGTATTGCGATTTCTGAAAGAACTATACTTTTTGTGCGCATGGGATGTTTCAGAGAGAAGACAGGATAAAGCGCACTCAAAAATGCAATACCAACCAGCCCAAGTAGATACTCTTGTCGTATAGGCAATTTAATAAAACTTTACCTTTAGGCCTATAAATTTTCTTGGCCATGTCAAACATATTTATTCAACTAATTGATTCTATTCTCAGTAGGATGTCTAAGCTAACTTTGTTTACACGGTAATATGTATATTCGGTAGGAACAGTACGAACATATCCTCTTAGCAGTCACGTGCGCGTAATGCTGCTGTGCGTTTAGCAAATCAGGCCAATTCGTTACACCGATAGTAAGTCTATATGACCATTAAAAACGCCATTAAACAAAACAGCCTGAATCAACCGGCTGTTAAGATGCAATGCGATTTGAAATTACATTGCTTATACATTCGAGTTTAATGTACCTGTTTTATCTGCTAATATGGTAACAGGTACGGCTTCGCCTGCTGGCGAATGCTGCTGATTTGAACGTTTGAGAACATCCGAGAACTTAAATATTGTGAGCTTCAAACCGATATTTACACTCCTGCTCGGTCACCTGCTTGAATTTGAGTTTAGAAGGACCTTTTAACGGCTTTTCAGGGTAGAGGAATATAAGTATACCTTCACCACGTAGTCTTCTGGCCCCAGGACGATCTCTTGTCCGCCAAATATGAACGTAAAGTCGGAAGTCCTGGCGTTGCAGTGGAGCTCGTACTGCAGTTGGTACTTGTCAGTGGATAACGAGAAAATTTTGAGTTCACTTTGTGTGTACCGTTGCAAACTACAAAGAATGATTAAACAAGTTTTCAAAGTGATTGTGACGATTATATCATGTTGCGTAGTAAGGATGTAATTACAAGTACAGGTAATAGGGAGGTCCGAGGGTTAATGGACTGTACAGGGGACTTAGCGTAAGTTAAATACCCTTACCAATTTTCGCATATCAAATGAAACTACACCTATTCTATAAGGTTTACCTAAATGCTTGCTTGAAAACATTTTAAAACGATGCCGCTAGCACCAGATGCCACACCTAATAGCAACATTTTTTTATTATATCTTCGTGTGCATCTGAAGGCAGTCCATACATATCTATATTGAATTCTCTGAAATGCTTCTTCAGAACTATTTCAAAAATTAGCTTTAAATCTTGACTTTGCCAGTTTGGCTAATGAAGTCGTAGCAAGAATGCCGCGCTACCACAAAACATGTCATAGGAATCAACATCTTAGCATCAAGTATGTTACGACGGTAGCACCATCCTCATCATCATCATCATCATCATCATCATCAGCCTGACTACGTTCACTGCAGGACAAAGGCCTCTGCCGTGTTCCGCCAGTCATCTCGTTCCAATACTTGCTGCTGACAATTTATACCCGCAAGATTCTTAATCTCATCTGCCCACCTAACCTTCTGTCTCCCTCTAACCTCCTTGCCTTGTCTGAGAATCCAGTTAGTTACCCTTAATGACCAGCGATTATCCTGTCTACGTGCTACATGCCCGGTCCGTGTCCATTTCTTCTTCTTGATTTCAACTATGATATCCTTAACCCCTCCCCCCCCCTTGTTCCCTAATCCACTCGGCTCTCTTCTTGTCTCTTAAGGTTACACCTACCATTTTTATTTGCATTCCTCACTGCGTCGTCCTAAATTTAAGCTGAACCCTCTTTGTAAGCCTCCAAGTTTCTGCTCCATAGCTAAGTTGCAGCATGATGCAGCTGTTATATACCTTCCTCTTGAGGGATATTGGCAATCTACCTGTGATGATTTGAGAGTGCTTGCCGAATTAGCTCTACCCCGTTCTTATTCTTCTAGTTACTTCTGTTACGACGATATATGAGTATTTAATCCTAAATATTCAGCGCTGACGTCATACAAGTTAAAGTACACCATAAGGTTAAAAGCTTTTTGGGTAAAATCCTTCAATAAATCCCACCTTTTTCTTGAATAAACGAACACGTATTCTCAACGTAAAATATTATCGTGCTAGATAGAGAGCACATGGGGAACCACATGTATCAGCTCGTATTCTATGCGCCTAGGGTAACAGCACACTTGTCATGATATCACATTTACATACTGACGATAATTAATTGTTTCAAGTATCGCAAGTCTAGGTTTTTCGAAGTTTCTTTCCCTAAAATGAAGCTCAGTGGTGCTCAAAAATAACACTTTTTTGTAACTTTACGCTATTCTTATCTGGATAAATTCTCTTCGCTTTTTCAGCTTTTTGCTCGCTTAGGTCACTCTGATGCACTGCTACTTACTTTTCCATCCTCGATCTTCCTGGCACCAAGCAGTGTGTTGATTTTCTTTATTTCGCTCGCGGGTCCTCCAATGAAGGGCTCCGTTGGAGCCGGCCGAGCCCACGATGCTCGTAGCCTTTCTCTCTGACCAGCCACTTCATATCTGCATTTTTATTGATGCTTGGTTAGAAAGAAAAGTGCAATTTTAATTCTGTCATTGCGACTCCTTTTTGGCTATTTATGGGAGTTATCTTAAGCCTTGCTTGGTCATTATAATTCGGGTTTCAGCATAGCTAGTCATTTTGTAGCCTGTATTGAATGCTTTACACGGTGTGCTCGATGCATGACAAGTCAGGCACTTAAAGTGTTCCACACTTGGCACATGTGTGTATTCGACTTTGAAATGAGTGCATGGTTTCACTTACACACACACACACACACACACACACACACACACACACACACACACACACACACACACACACACACACACACACACACACACACACACACACACACACACACACACACACACACACTCAAACTGAGAGTGATCACAATGAACGTGACAACTGATGTCAATGCAGCTTGCATTTAGTAATGCTCGTTAAATCCGGGCAATTTTCTCGCAGGAAAACTATAGACAGCCTTTCTGGAAGTATTTACCCATTTAGATGAACCTTAAAGGCACTGTCGAGAGCATCCATGAAGGTCATTGAACCTTGGTAGTGCTGCTCATTTGCACCTCCGAAGAGGGCTTCCCCTGGAGTGGTCATGTCGTTGCTAAAATAAAGTCCCACCTTTGGACTGCCGATTACACCCGATTTAGCCATTTCGTAAAGCGTAGAGTTTGCGCCGAGACGCAGCCCGAAGACGCCGTCGAAGGGCTTGTCCACGAAGCTGGGCACCCCGGGGAAGCCTATTCCATTCACAAACTGAAGATTTCCGAGGGACACGCCGCCGAGCTCATGAGCATCCCGAAATACGTAGCCGGTTACGTTGCCCCTGCAGGAAAACAAAACTGTGTCTGAGTTGAGGCTGGGAGATTGTGTTCTCCTAGATGACACAGAAAAAATATATATACTTTATTTCGAGCAAACTTGAACTTCTTGAACGAAAAACCAAGGCAGTTTAGCGGTTTCGCCGCAAGCGTGCCAGTTGTGGCAAGCAACCGTCGACCGAAAAAATGAAGCCCGTTGACTGCCCGCCACTCAATTTTTGAAGTGTCGCATCAGACCAGTTAATACTAACGCCTACCGTATTATATGAAGGGACATGTTAAGTTTTGTCTTTTGCTTTCTCAGCACCTCAGTGCGTACTTCTACGCAAACGAAAACGTTTTGTTGTTCTGTGTGCAAACTTTCTAAAAATACTTCACACTCAGTCGTATATCTTACTCTGCGTTCCGAATATTTTACGTAGTATTAGTGACGACAGCCCTTGATTTATACGTTTTTCAACCTTTAACAACAATCTCCATAATCGTCTCCACAGCTTCTTGAGCAAACGGCATAACAGGAAACTCCACAGTTTCCCTGCAAACTTGCAGCTTCGGGCCACACATTGTATTTTGCCCATATTCCTTAATTCAATACCAGTTGTCAACTTGAGCCACTATTGCACATACAAGAGCAAATGGCGCTGGGGAAAGCATGCATGGAGTAACCGCATTAAGCCCATCTGCTGGTAAAATCACGCAATAATCTTTTGTACGAGGTACTGTTAACAAATCTTATAGAAATTGTCTTTGGCAGTCATTTAAGAATATTCAAAACAATCAAAAGAATAAGTAGTATTTTTCGTCGCTGTTCTCACGGTATTCACAACTGATGGACCTATTTCGAGACGCCCATTTTTAGTATCTTTTTTTCAGCCCTTGTGGAAATTTTTGAAGTCACAAATAAATTTTTCAATAGCGACAGATCTCCCATGACACTTAAAGACATTAACTCACAGACTTCAACAGAAAGTAGCACACAGAAACAGCTTCCTGCACAAAATACATCGATCTAACTCCCCACAATGCCATTGTGGTCATGAAGAAGAAAATGTTCACCGTATTTTTTTGGAGTGCGTCAAATACGCGAAATAAAAAAAGAAAAACTAAGTATTAAACTAGTAATCTGGATACATAGCCTCTTACTTTAAAGAATTTACTCAGACCATAGCCTGACATACATCCTCATAAAAAGGCAAACATCTTCCTAACAAAATTCGTCGTGGACACCGGGCTGTATAAGCGCCTGTGACAGTCAGCCAGGGGTTGACATATATGAAATGATGTGTTCGTGCATATACTGACAGTAGAAAAAAAGATGTGCGTGTGAACATATTATGACTGTGTTAACTGGTGCAAGCAAAGTGTACTTTCGCAGGATATTGCAACTGGTTTCAGTGTGCTATTATGTTTTCGTTTGTTCATTATTGAGTACCGTTTGGTATTATTCTTTTAGTTTTTTCCGCTGCAGAACTCATTGATATGGAGCAACCGAGGCACCATGAACCATAACCTCTGCACAGTAAAACAGAACAGAGCAGAACCAAACACATTTTGCAAGCTCCGCCGTTTCTTTTACTGTCTGCACTTTTGCCGTTAGTGAAATAGAGCACATGTCAGTAGTTCTGCATTTGCGTCCAATTTAATATCAATGCTTCATAGTTTGCGAAACGTGAATACTCTTGCAAGTGACGTATACCTAGTCAGCACTTTTACCTTATCTGGCAACACCAGTATATTATTAACTGCCTATATTTATAACACGATCGTTTTCTTTGTGACACTTGCTAATTACCCTTTATTTGGAGGTTAGCCTGACTGTGTTATTCCTCATGCCCAAAATGAAACAAAAGTATCACATTGTTCCTCATTTCTATTTACTTTTGTGCATCATATATCAGTGTTCCACTCGTCATTTTATAGAAAAATTTGTGTCCTGCTTCTGTATTTACGTCCTAAAATGTCTCACCATCCCTGGGTAATAATGAGAGCACCTTTCTCTAACATGAACAGTGCTCTTTCTAATGAAAAAAAATCACGTGAGGCCTCATTTAGAAATACGTTGGTACACTCACCTTCCAAAGGGTGTGGCACCGTCTTCCCAGTCACTGCTCTGCGTCGTCGACTTGCTCCAGTCATACATCTTGTGTTCAACTAAGGGAGTGCAATCGATTAAGTTAGATAAGACTTGTGATTATATCAAGACGTATCTAATGCATCGGGTAAGCTTTCGCACCTTCAAGTAGCATGATTTCACTGTTACAGGAACTCGTAACACTTACAATCTGTGATGATAAGCTTACACTTCCTATATTGTCACCCTCATTTAGTCTCGATCCATCTTGCCTAACGTGTAGGGAAATACACGGTATCTTGGTTTTTTTTTTCTTCGCACCTGCCGCCTTTCCCACTACCTCTTCTCTCATTCTCATATGCGACACTGACGCGAAATAGCAACTCAAGTTTGTCTATTTTGTTTATCATATTCTAGAAATGTTATCATTGTTGGAGCACGCTTCACACTCAAAATAATAACGAAGATTTTTTTAAGCGATATTTTTTTTATTTCTACCCCAGCTGTTCACGCAACGCTTTGTGACGCTATTTTAGGTACAAGTTATAGGAGTATTTTGTTTGAAATATGCACTACTATACACGCGTCTGTGAACCGTCTTCCAGATTCAAGATAGCAAAAGAGACAACGGCACTGACCAGCCCAGAAACAGTGATGTCTTGCAGAAATAAGTAGTCATATACGCTCTCTAAAACTGTGAAACAGAGAAGGAAATAATAAAGGGAGATGTTCACAAATGCTTCCTTTTGGTAGAAACATGTTATATAATAACATTTCGTTTTGTTCATTGTATATGTATCTTTCACGATAGAGAATTCCTAACTTACGCACAAAAATACATCTTATTTAGAAAAAATACAGTCAAACATGAACCACGTCGTGCTTCATTGAGTGCATTAACATGTAGCAATCTGGGAGGAAACACTATATAAAACCATCCTAGAGCAGTTCGCCGCCCTATTAAGGAACTATAGGTTTCAGCAAAGATTCTTGGAGGGGAGGGGGAAGCGATATTTCTTTGCTGCAGCGGAATTTCTCAAAGCAAAAGTGCATGTTGTGTTTTCTTATCTCGTTTTTTTTTGTGTACATGAACGCGCGCTCAGCGGTCTTCCTGCAAGTTGTTATATCGTGCGTTAACGCGAATTTCTCGTAGACGGTGTTTTCATTCATTGTGATCAAGTTGCTGCCTCTCTTTGTATTTCTGTGATAACAATTTTATTCTTTTCAGTTTACCGTCTGCTAAAATAGACGTACTTGAAGAGAAGCATTTTTTTTTCACTTGCTATACACTTTGTGTGGCATTGCATTGGTCACATGCAGGCTGAGTCATGTTCCTAAACATAGATTGGGAGCAGTTTAAATGATTTTGAGTCATCTGTCCAAGTTAGAAATAATAATAATAATAATAATAATAATAATAATAATAATAATAATAATAATAATAATAATAATAATAATAATAATAATAATAATAATAATAATAATAATAATAATAATAATAATAATAATAATATAATACATGGTACGTGGCTTAAGGACCAAAACCACCGTAACTAAATGAAAGAGGCCATAGTGCAGGGCTCCGGAATGGAGGACCATATGGTGTTACTTTTAGCGTGCAGTGACATTGTGTAGTGTATGGGCCTCTACAATTTCACCTAAATCTAAATGCGACTGCAATTGCTGGGATCGAACCTGCCATCTTTGGGTCAGCAGCCGAGAAATCTAACCACTTCTTCACCGCGGCGGACGCCTGTGCAGTGTCAACTTCCTTTACGCAAATGACGTTGTGCGTGGTACAGGAAACATTCGCTAACTCATTCTGAAAATAAAATTGTAGTTGTGAAATTTACTTGTGCATTGTTGTGAGCCAGATTGAGCAATATTCGGTATAATGTGGCTCTGAAATACATACAGCAGGGCTCCGCTTGCGTGCAGTAGTAGGCAGGAACCCACGTTGTACCCGCCGAATCAAGCATGACCAAGAATTTCTGCGGTGGCGTACCTAGCATGAGCTTTGTGATGTATGTGAGCTGCAATGTAGGCCAAAAAAGTGGCATCTGAAGCTAGCATTTATTTTTTTATATTTACAATGCACTACACTACAACATTCAAACGTCTATAGCGTTAGTGGGACTGGCCACAACAACTTTCTGGTTAACTACGTCATTGCCATTAGGCGAACAGTAGGTTTCTATTTATAGCGGCAGTTGCGGAATTGAGGAAATGGTTGTAGATTATATAAAGTGTTATTTCGCTTGTTTTCTAACGAATATATAGTATGGGATACTAAAAAGGTGGGCAATAAGCATGACTCACTTTCTAACATAATGCTGCTCAAGAGACTTTGTCATTAAACATTTTTAAGAGCGAAGATGTTAAAGCAAGACGAAATACGTCTATCACATGCCAAAATAAAATACCTCCATGCCCACCACGTAGCCGTGCTTGCCGTCAGGAGCAGCCGGCGCCTAGCCGCGATGCAGGTGTCACAGCCGCCATGCCGAGTTGGCCCGATGTGGCGCGATTCGAGTACGAGTGATGAAAGGCCAGTTCACCTACCGGGTGTGCTACAGCTAGGTTTGCATGTTACTTTCTGGGAACGGAATTCGGACAATCTTGTATGGTCTGTGATGGTCTGCAGTTACACAATACTCTGTCTACGATAGAGAAAAAAACTAGCATCAGCCAAGAAGGCTTCGTTTAGCGCCTCAAATCACCCAGCTTCCCTGTTTGACGGACGAAGCTTCGTAGGCCGTGGATCATTCCTTCCTCTGTTGTAGTAGTAGTTTAACTGTTAATAATAGTAAAATTAGTAGTAGTAGTAACATGTAGCCAGCTGTAATTTATGAATTTCTCAATCGATGACGTTGTGTGTATATGTCCAGGAAAATAATATCACTAGAGAGCTTTAGTGGCTTTCGTATACTTGACGATTTCGTATAATTGACGGATGGACGAATAGACGGACAGACAGACAGTTGGATGGACGAACGTACGAAAGCACGGATGGACGGACGGGCGTTTGACAAAAATGTCACCTAATGCTGTGATGTCAAAAGACGCCTTTTAAACGAGTCCTTCTTGACTGAGACTTGACTTCAGTCCACCCTGAAATAATTGAAATTGATTTTCGCTATGACTAAAATCTAGATGCCGATTCTGAAACATGCAGTTTTGGTTCCACGATCAGGTTTCAACTGATATTGATCGCATGCGATTCCTCAAAAAAAATGCTCAGCGCCGGTCCAATCTTGGTAGCTTACTTGTGCAAAGCAGTGATCTTTGCATATATGCGGAAAAATAATGCACAGTCCTAAATTAGCAAAGTCCCAAAACTTTATTTTTATGAAGCCACAGGCTGGTATAGCGTAAGGTCTGTTGAGCCAAATTTGGTCCCCGGACAACGTATTTGAGGTGCCTGATCTACTGTATTGCGAATGAACCATACCAAACAATTTTCGCTTGTGTTTCCCGAGTCGATGCACATATTAAGAACTTGTACAATCAAAAGAGTGATTCACTCAGTTCCCTGATTGTATGATAAATCTGAAGTCAGGAAGCCTGTGCGTTTTGACATGTGCGCGCTTGTCTAAACCTCGGCTCCAGCATGAAAGAAGAAACCCTCGGCTCCATCTTCCCCTTCTTGCCTTGCCTTTGGATTACTGTTGGTAATTAGTGAGTGCCAGCAAAATTACAGCTACGTTCAAGCATTAGATAGCAGACTGAGTGAGAGAACTTGACAAAAAGCTTTCAGGACTCTTTCTCTATGAAGTACAACAACGCAGTCTTATTAGGGTCATTAAAAAAATTGGCAGCATATTCATGGGGTGAATCATGGAGAGTGGGGCGAAGCATTCGTCCGTCCATTCGTTCTTGCTTCCGCCCGTACATGCGTCCGTCTGTGTGACCGTCCTTGCGCCCATCAGCCCGTCTGTGCGTGCGTCTGTTCGTGCGTCCGTCCCTGTGTCTGTTCATGAGTCCATCTATGCATCTGTCTGTGTGTCTATTGAACACTCCAAGTACCACCATCTCGCATATTTTCATCATATATTCCCCATATAGAAGCACCGCCATCCAGCGGACGTTCCAAGGACTAAACGAGAGGTGGAAAACGCACACTTTCTTACGGCTTGCGCTTCGGGTCTACTTCCCACCTTCAACCACCTCGAGTTCATGGTATATACTAGTTCACTGTATTCATGGCACTGCAGCCCAACGCTCGCTAAACCTTTCTAAAACTAAGAAGGTCACGCCCAGCGAGTATATAACGTAGCAACCTTTTCCTGTCAGATAGTGCTCAATGTACATGCCAATGGCTGCTAATGGTAAATGAGAGACAGGAGAATTTGGCTTTAACTTTCTTACGGCTTGCACTTCGTATCTACTTCCTACCTTTAACCACCTTGAGTTTATGGTATATACTAGTTCATTGTATTCATGGCACTCCGGCTCAACGCTCGCTAAACCTTTCTAAAACTAAGGAGGTTACACCCAGCGAGTATAATGTAGCAACCCTTTCTTGTCAGATAGTGCTAAATGTACATTCCAATGGCTGCTAATGGGGAATGAGACAGGAGCATTTGGCTTTTAGTTAACGCGCATGCCGCAAACTTTTTATTGTTCAACAAAGCACAGGAGTAATCTCCCACCGGCACCACCTTGCAGGTACGAATGTAACACTTGTTACACACTAAGACTACGACTACAAGAGACAAACGGGTGCCGCTTTAAGGAGCTTCGCCCCTTTATTGACGAACTATCGCCACTTGGGATGGCTTCATGCTCTCCCATAGTTGAGTACCTAGTACTCGTAATCGTTAACCACTTTTTCTAAACACAAAAAGAGAGACCGATGACTGCCTCGTCCCATTGCCTAAAAAAAACGAAGCGCTTCGAAAATTATCGCCGATTAGAAGGATCGTTAGTGTACGCTTACATTGTTGTAGTTGTCCAGTGGTACCGACACCATTTTGAGTGCTTGACCGGCAGGGCCATTACTAGGAAGAAAAAAATATATGCTGCTCGTGAACAATTTTTGTATTCAACAGTTCTTTGAAGTCGCTCTTGACGATATCAACAAAAGGAATGTACACAAGCCTATAGGTTACTGTATTTTTTTATAAAGGAGGTACCCTGCAGAGGGAAATGAAGGAATAGGGTCATATATTTGTAACAGCAACTCAAAAAACGAAAATAACTGTCTGTTCGAAGTTCATGAGATCAATGGTACCTTAGATGAGTGTAGCAGCCACGTAGCGCATTAAACAGCAGGTTCAATAATGCAATTTCAAATTTAACAGTCACTGTTCTTGACCATTTTCCAAGTGGTCGCAGAAAACGAAAGGTAATAAACTGCCAGTATGAAATTTTATTGCACCCTATAGTAGCATATGACCTACAAACAACCTTCATAAAACGAGATCCCTTCTTTACTGAGTTTTTAGCCCCTTTATGACTTTTTTCCGGTGGTGGGTCAGAAAGCTTTCGGAATACTGGGCAACCTTCGTTGTATTTCGCCTTTCCAAGTCGTACAGAGTCGTGAATAATGTTTATGAAATTTGGACTAGACTCCAAAAGAGTGATAAAGATTTACGAGTAAATGTTTTATTGTAATGCTGGAGATGCTTTCCTGCAGGGTTCCTTGCCTTACATGATACTACTACAGGTTGTGGGTGATGATTACGGTATGTACACTGTTAACCACATAACGCCTGTAACCCAAGCAGTCATTCTACTGATATAAGCAATATACACATGTACAGCATATCCATCATCGAGAGAAGAAAAACATTGTACCACACCTTGAGCCACGGGCCAGAAAGGGTCCTGCCCATCCCAATAAAACAAAGAGGCTTAGCCTGAGCATCGGCATCCTTGTCAACGATGGTAATCGGCTTTTCGATGGAAGCAGAAGCAGCGTTTGTGCGCTTTTGCTCGCGGATGAGCCCTCATATATACGTGAAGAGGCCAAGTTCAAAGACGGTGCTTGGTTGTCGTCAATGGCATACAATCACCTCTCGGCGGCTGCTTTTTCGCATGCACACTGAATGGCTGATGCATCCTGGCAGACACCACCCAGACGATATCTCGTGTTTTTGCCAGCGTAAGCCCATTGTACTTTTTTTTTGCAACTCTAAGTGGCAAGGTCGCGTGCGATAAAAGAATGTTTTGACTGATGTGCTCGAAGGTGCCCCTTTGCCGCTCATGTGAACTCCGCTATTTTTTGAAGCACTAGACTAAGTTTTATATCATGGTTTTTTAGTTTATATTTTTGCAACATATTTTTACTCGATAATGTAACATTTTTGCCAATACGTAGCTTTAGCAGTGCAAGTATAAGCAGGGGAAAGTGTGGAGAAGCAAAAGGTAATTTAGAAGACGGGGCATAGTACTGAATACCAGCATAGTACTGGTTCGTTACGCCATCAAGCAATGCTACCTTTCTACTTCAGCTGTACCAAGAACCCTGGACTTGACGAAAAGTAAAAAAAAAATAGATATATCTTCATACCAAGACGCAGTGGCCAGTATATGGGGAGTAAGGCTACACTCATTCATTTTTCGGATTTGACCCCTCCTAAAATTGATATGCACTGTTAAGTGCCTTCGCCTCACGTATGGGGACTTCTCCGAAGTCGTCTTCTATACTCGGCTACAACTTTTCTTGGCACGGAATTGAAAGCTACAGAGATAAATTGCGTGTATCCTGCCGCCCGTGTACGTAGTTTCCAAGTAGCACCCGTATTTTTAACGTGAAATATAAATGTTCTTTTTTTCTTTTCTACATAGAGCTATTTGACACAGGACGCAGCTCATGGCAATCAGATATTCGTATTTTGACGATTGAAGGAATAACGGTCTTGTTTGGCTGGCTGCATACAGTGCTCGGCTTTCACGTGTTCTTGGCCCGTTACCGGGCTCCGCCCGTGTTTGTACAAGCTCACTATACCTTCTAAGAGACTTCCGGGACACGCCGACACCATCCGGGCCCCGATTCGACCCGAGGCTGGCCCTCCAGGCTCCTTCAATAGTACGAAGCGGCGCAGCGCCGCGCTAGCCCTAACGCGCCGCACCTGCTCCTCCGCGATGCAGCGTCCCACCCAGCACTCGTCATCAACGACAACTGACCCCCTTTCGGTAAGCCCAGCCTCCTCCAGTCGTACCGCTAATACAGGCGTGCTTCCGCTGTCAACATCTGGCAATGTCACCAGCCCCGCGCCGACAACAATACAGCAACAGGCAGCGTTCCTCAACAGCGCGCACGGTCCAGCAACATGCAACGCTGGTGGCGTCTCTGCTACTCCCAGCTTGATAGCCACGCGAACGCCGGAGCCCGAGAGCCGTAATGCAGCGTTGGCGTTGCAATCAACCACGCCTGCTGCTCTCCCCACCTTATCTGCGTCTTGCCTACCCACTAGAAATTTCGAGTCTGTCGCCAAGCGCGTTTCGATGAGCATCGTTTTTTCCATCGCCGAAGTTTTTCCTTCCATTACTTCAGCTGACAACCTATAGACAAAATGGACTTCACGGCGTCGCAGGTCATTGCAGGCCATTCCCTGAAGGCAGCTGGAACACCGTTAGTGCCAATCTAAAACCTGCCTCGACCACCCGCCCCCGCTCTGAGCTCATCCCCGTCGGAATCCAACTTCCACCTGGAACACTCACGCCGAAACTGCCTCTCTGTGACCTATTTTCTACCATCATAGCCGCCTCAAATCTCTCTCCCAAGACCAGTGCGGAAGTCACTCTCCAGGCCAAACCTGCTGAGAGCCTTGTGTTTCTGAAAACGCACTCGCCCCTCATTGCCCACCTTCTACTGTCCATTACAAGTCAGGAACTTAATGGTAAGCTGATCACCATTAAGCCCTATGCCCCCAGTCTTCCAATATCATGTCTCGGCGTCAAACACAACGTCGGTGGTCACGTGACACCGTCTCCACTTTTGCGTGACATCGAATCCTTTACTTCAGACATACTCACTGCACGTATGATGGGCTCCACTGATTCCGTCCTCATAATTAACATTTGCTGGAACCGTCATCCCTCGCTTTGTGTATTTTAAACGCGTCTCTTTCCGATGCCGTCCACATGAACCTAAGCCCCCTACTTGCACTCAGTGCCTTGCTATAGGGCACCGTGTTCATCGATGACCCCAACAGAGCGTTTCGGCCAAGTGTCACCCCTGTGCGTCTCCTTTACCAGCAGATCCCGATGCTCACGTTTGTGCCCATTCTAGTGCAGCCATTGCCAAGTCAACACCCACTCATTTCTCGACTCCACCTGCCCCTACCTTCTAGCTAAGCAACGTGATTGCGCCAAAGCAGCTTTTCTCCGTTGCACAGCCTTGCGCCGAGCCACTCAGCCTTCACCGCCCTCCTCTTCAGCGCATGAGCTCCTTTCACCTCCCGCAACATCCCCCCCCCCCGGATTCATACGCCGCTCAGGCTAAGGGCACACCTCCCGTGTGTACTTTATCGAACACACCTTTACTATCCTTGAGTAACGAGAGCCGCTCCTTCGATCTGCGACTTGCTATGTTGGAGCGCAACCAGCGTGAGCAACAGCGCGTCTCAGATGAGCTACAACAGAAATACTCGCACTGATGCAGACACTCGCAACTACCACATCCTCTCTTACTTCTCAACTTACGGTTCTAAATAAGCAACTCGCGACACTCACTGCCCCGACCTCCAGCTCCCATGTAACCGAATTGGCCACGGCGTCTCTCATAATCATATGGTGGTTTTGGGACATTAAACCCCACATACCAACCTAACCAAATTGGCCGACATGGTCGAAACCACCACCAATGCGCAACATACTCGTTTGGTCCAGCTGGAAAATTCAATTGTCCAGATTTTTACGACCCTCGAAACCCAATCCAAGCAACTGGAATCATTTACCTGTATGCTTAACTCCTTGCAAGAGTTACTTCCCCGGCAAAAAAAGATGGAAAGTGCACGCGCAGGCGCTTCCTCTACTTTCAAGACTTCAAAGAGATGGCGTGTGAAAAGGACCTCGAGATTTTGCAGTAGAACTGCCGCAACTTTCGTCATAATAGGACCCCTCGCCACTAATATCTTCTCATCCGCTCCACATTACCCCATTTTCTCCTTATACAGGAGACTCAGACGGCCCTTGCCGTCTCGGGCTACCGTACATATCACGCTACGAAGGGAACGCCAGTTGAGTCCATTTATGTACGCAATGACGTTCTCGTTGAACCACTAGACGTAGCCTCCCTCCTCCCAAAATATTTAGTTGGTGTGGTCTATTACCAACCATCTACCCGTATTTCTCTTGCTCTGATGTCCTTTTACAACCCCCCCGTCACGTCCTCTTTGTTTAGTGCTCTTGGCGAATTCCTGCACTCCCTTTCATCGACCAATCGACCACCCATATCCTCATTTGCAGTGACTTTAATGCTCCTCATAGGCTCTGGGGTTACCCCCAAACACTCAAACCAGGTCGCCTTCTACACTGCCTCGCCCAGGAACGTCATCTCACCCTAATTAATACCCCTGACACCCCTACTCAAGCGGGCACTGTTTCACAGCGCTCCACTACACCCGATCTCACTTTCTCTCGGAGGAGTTCCCTTCCTTTTCACTGGCAGGTGTACGCTGAAAACATTTTCAGGGGTTACTTTTTTCATTTATTTCATTTATTCCACCTTAAAGGCCCGGAGGCATTACATAAGGGGGGGCGGCGTACAAGGTATGTCGAACAACTCAACAAAACTCGAAGGGTTCCAAAACGTAAACATTCAAAGAACAATGAAAAAAAAAGTACAATATGCAAAGTAAAACGCCAATATTACCAAATGCAAATAAAAAAGTAATGGTACAAAGGTAAGCTTCCAGAAAAAAGTGACGACAGTTTATACATTAGTTAAAAAAAAGTATTTAAACATTGGCAGGGAAAACAGCACATTCAGTTAGATTGCGACATGTGACATTTTAGCTTACTGCGGAAAATTTGGCGGTTATTACACGTGACTATATTATCAGGTAGTTTATTCCACAGTGTTATCCCATTGGGAAAGAAGGAAGTAATCATTGCAGAAGTGTGTCCATTTATTGGTGCGATAGGGTGACTGTGGTTTATGCGGGATGAAGTTCTGTGTGATGGTTGAAGGAGGACGTGCCGTGATTGAGGGTGATAATAGAAAGCATGCATCAGACACAATCGAGAAATGATACGACGAGATTCGAGGGACGGCAGTTTCAATGATTCTTTTAGTGCAGTAACGCTGATATCGTTAGAGTATTGGGAGTAAATAAAACGGGCAGCGCGGTTCTGAATCCTTTCTAAATCGTTAGTTAGATATGTTTGTGAGGGTTGCCAAATTGAGCAAGCATATTCTAGTTTCGGTCGGACGTACGTTTCATAAGCTAATTTTTTAATGTCTGGTGAGGCTAATTTTAGGTTGCGGCGCAGGTATCCGAGAGTGCGTGAAGCTTCTGAACAGATTATTTGAATATGGGTTGACCAGGATAGCGACGATGACAGATGCACTCCGAGGTATTTGTATGATAGGGTAGGGCTAATGGGAACAGACTTTATGCTATAGGTAAATTTTTCTGGGCTCTTTTTGCGGGTGAATGACATAATTTTACACTTAGTTAGGTTTAACGGCATTAGTGACTTATCACACCAAGTTACAATTAAATTTAAATCATGTTGAAGTTTAATGCTGTCGTCTGGTGTACAGATTGGAGAGTATAAAACGCAGTCATCGGCAAAAAGTCTTAATTTGGTTAGCACATTGGTGGGTAAGTCATTTATGTATATTAGAAAAAGGAGCGGGGAGAAACAGGCACCTTGGGGGACGCCGGACGTTACGTCGGAAAGAGGTGAGTCGTGGTCATTAGCGCTGGTGAACTGCTTACGGTTTTTTAGAAAATTTTCTATCCAGAAAATTATGTTGGGAGGGATTCCAAGGTTGCATAGTTTAGAGAGTAAGAGGTTATGAGGAACACGGTCGAATGCTTTAGAGAAATCTAAAAATATGGCGTCAGTTTGAAGATTT